TTAAATTAACACTTTGGAAGAGTTGAAATTTATACTCATACGCTTTATAAAAAATTTGTATCCTCCCATTCTACTTATAAGAGTCGAACTCAAGACTTCTTCCCTTAAGAGAAATTCGGTGGGTAAAAAGCTAATAACTAGGTTAGACCCCCTTGATTTTGATATTATTAATTGAAATTATAAAATTTAATATTTTTCATTAAGATATTAAAATACAACTTAATAATTATTAAGGGTAAAGTGATATGAAATATTATTTTTAGATCACCAAATAACTTTTCTTCGGTGTCGTATGTGAATTCTAACATAAAATAGAGTAATGGTGACGGTGGGGCACCATGTTCCTCGCTATGGACAATTAGTCGTTTTTTTTTTTTTTTTTTTTTTCTTTGCTTTTGGGGAAATTCTCTTATTTAATTAAAATAATATTAGTGCAATTGTGGATAAAGAAAAACCTTGGTCGCCAAGCAATGAATGGAGATTGGATTGTACATTTACCATTATCACTGTCACTATCCCATCGACAGTCCACAGTGTAGACTTAAAGATGAAAGAATCCAAACGTCCTCTCCATGATGGGAGGAGGAGCCAACACATTAACACTATAACAAAATGCATTTTTATCGATTATTTTTTGGCTATTAAAAATAATTTAGTTGTCAAAAGTTACGGAATTGATTATCAAAAATAATATTAGTCGGCAAAAGTCAACTTTTTAGCTACTAATTTTTTATAGTAGGGGAATGTTGATTATTGGCGACTAAAAAAAATTTAGTAACTAAAAATATTACAATTGGCGACTAAAAAAATTTTTAGTAGCTAAACATATCACAATTGGCGACTAAAAGAAAATTTAGTAGCCGTAGAGGTACCTTTAGCTACTAAATTGTTTGGTAGCCGAATGAAAATAAAAAATTAATTTTTAATCTTTGCCGACCAAAATTTTGGTCGCCAAATGTTAAGTTTCGGCGACAAAGCTCCTTTCAGTCGCTGTAGACCTACTTTTGGCTACTAAATTTTTTGATAGCCGAATGAAAATAAAAAAAATTAATTTTTAATCTTTGCCGACCAAAATTTTGGTCGCCAAATGTTAAGTTTCGGCGACAAAGCTCCTTTTAGTCGCTGTAGACCTACTTTTGGCTACTAAATTGTTTGGTAGCCGAATGAAAATAAAAAATTTAATTTTTAATCTTTGCCGACCAAAATTTTGGTCGCCAAATGTTCAGTTTCGGCGACAAAATTCCTTTTAGTCGCTGTAGACCTACTTTTGACTACTAAATTGTTTGGTAGCCGAACGAAAATAAAAAAATTAACAAATAGTTATTTTATTTTATTAACAACAATATCATTAGTCTTCACTTGAAAATTTGACTAAACAAAATAGTTATTTTATTTTTATTTTTATTTTTATTTTTATGACCACTTGAAAATTTGACTAAACAAAATAGTTATTTTATTTTATTAACAACAATACCATTAGTCTCCACTTGAAAATTTGACTAAACAAAATAGTTATTTTATTTTATTAACAACAATACCATTAGTCTCCACTTGAAAATTTGACTAAACAAAATAGTTATTTTATTTTATTAACAACAATACCATTAGTCTCCACTTGAAAATTTGACTAAACAAAATAGTTATTTTATTTTATTAACAACAATACCATTAGTCTCCACTTGAAAATTTGACTAAACAAAATAGTTATTTTATTTTATTAACAACAATACCATTAGTCTCCACTTGAAAATTTGACTAAACAAAATAGTTATTTTATTTTATTAACAACAATACCATTAGTCTCCACTTGAAAATTTGACTAAACAAAATAGTTATTTTATTTTATTAACAACAATACCATTAGTCTCCACTTGAAAATTTGACTAAACAAAATAGTTATTTTATTTTATTAACAACAATACCATTAGTCTCCACTTGAAAATTTGACTAAACAAAATAGTTATTTTATTTTATTAACAACAATACCATTAGTCTCCACTTGAAAATTTGACTAAACAAAATAGTTATTTTATTTTATTAACAACAATACCATTAGTCTCCACTTGAAAATTTGACTAAACAAAATAGTTATTTTATTTTATTAACAACAATACCATTAGTCTCCACTTGAAAATTTGACTAAACAAAATAGTTATTTTATTTTATTAACAACAATACCATTAGTCTCCACTTGAAAATTTGACTAAACAAAATAGTTATTTTATTTTATTTTTATTTTTATTCTCTCTCTCATTTTCTCTCTGTGTCTCTCGCCTATCTCTCTTCTCTCTATCACTCTTATCTGTTTTCTTTCTTTGTCTCTCTCGCTCATCTCTCTTCTCTCTATCTCTCTCATTTCTTTTCTCTCTCTCTCGCTAATCTCTTTTCGCTCTATTTCTTTCTTTTTTTTGTCTATCTCTCGCTTATCTCATGTTTCTCTCTTTTTTTTCTATCTCTCCCTCTACCTCTCTCCCTCTCTTTCTCTCTCTATCTCTTTTTTTGTCTCTCTCTCTCTCTCTCTCCTTGTCTCTCTCTCACTCATCACTCTTCTCTCTCTCTGTCTACTTGTCTATTTGTCTATTTATCCCTCACTATGTTCGCCTTGCTCACTCTCTTACTCCCATCTTCTCTATTTATCGAGCTCTTTCTCGATTTATTGATCCACTATAAGAAAATACACTTTTAGCAACCACTTTGTCTCTTTCTCTCTCGTCCATCACTCTATCTCTGTCTCTCTCTTTATCTCTCTTCTTTATCTGTCTCTCACAAAATTAAAATATTTTAAAAATATTTAAAAATTTGATTTGAATTAAGCTTTGAAAAGAGTTTTAAATTATGTGTTTGGTTATGAGTTTTGAAAAGTAATGATTATATTTTGAATTGAGTTTTGAAAAATGGATGTTGAATTATGATTTGAAAGCTCAAAACAAACATCATACTTAAATTAATGGGTGGAACTATGACCACTACCACTACCACTACCACTCTCTCTTTCGTTTTTTTTTTTTCTATGTCTCTCTCGTTAATCTCTTTTCACTTTCTTTCTCTATCTTTTAGTTTATCTCTTGTTCATCTCTTGTCTCACTCTCTTTCTGTCTATCTCTCTCTCTCCGTCTCTCTCTCTCTCACTCATCACACTTCTCTCTTTCTGTCTGCCTGCCTGTCTGTCTGTCTGTCTGTCTCTCTCCCCCCCACTGTGTTCGTCTTGCTCACTCTCTCCCTCATCTCTTCTTTATTTATTGAGCTCCCTTTCGATTTATCGATCCATTATAAGAAAATGCACTTTTAGCGACCACTTTGTCTCTTTCTCGCTCACCACTCTGTCTCTGTCTCTCTATCTCTTTTCTCTATTCGTCTTTCACTCATCTCTCTCTCTCACCACCCATATTCTTTACCACATTTACCACTACTGAAAATGCCATTCAATTACCACCATTCTTCTATTTCTCTCTTTCACTCATCACTCTTCTTTCTCTGTTTGTTTGTCTATCTGTCTGTGTGTCTTTCGTTCATCTTTCTTCTCTCTATCCTTCTCATTTGTCTTCTCTCTCTCTCTGTCTCTCTCGCTCATCTCTTTTCTCTCTATCTCTCTCATCCCTTTTCTCTCTCTGTCTCTCTCGCTCATCTCTTTTTTTCTGTCTCTCTCGCCTATCTCTCTTCTCTCTATCTTTCTATTTTTCTATTCTCTCTCTCGTTAATCTTTTTTCGCTCTTTATCTCTCTTTTTGTATCGCTCATCTCTTGTTTCTTTCTCTTTTTCTGTCTCTCTCTCTATCTCTTTCTCTCTTTGTCTGTTTGTTTCTCTCTCTTTCTCTCCGTCTCTCTCTCTCACTCATCACTCTTAATAGAAAGTATTTTTCATTAAAATATTATCCTTACTTCTACCAAATAAAAAATAATAATAATAATTTTTCATTCATTAAATATTCATTTACGATGAAAATAAAAATTATTATTATTATTTAAATATTCATTTATGATGAAAATTATTATTATTTAAATATATATTTTTTTCCCAATCCCGCCCGCTCGGTTCCCCCATTTTTTTCCATTCCCGCGCCCCAAAAAATCCCCAATCTCTTAGAACCCTAATCGTCTCCTCACTCTCCAGTCTCATCTCAAGTTCAACTCATCACTGTCCCTCTCTCTCACTCTCTCGTTTCGTTGTTCTTCATATCTGCACCGATCACTCTATGACTCTCGTTGTTCATCTCATCGCACCGTCGATCTACTCACAGGTAAACTCTCTCTCTCTCTCTCTCTCTCTCTCTCTCTCAATCTCTGTCTCTCTCTTTCTCTCTCGCCCCGATCGTTGTTTTTTTTTTTGTTTTATATATATACATATATATATATATATATCAGATATCTCTCTGATCTAATCTGTCTCCCTCACTCTCTCTTCTCATCAGTCTCACTCTCTGGTTTTGCATCTCTATACCGATCGACTCACAGGTAAGCCTCTCTCTCTCTCCCTGATCTCTCATCTCTGCACCGATCGAACAGATCTGTTCTGTTTGTTTGTTTTGGACCAACAGATCTGTTCTGTTTGTTTTGGAATCTGTGTGTTTGTTTTGTTTTGGAATCTGATCTGTTCTGTTTATTTTATTCTGCACCGATCACTCTCTGTGTGTTTGTTCTTAAGGAATTTGTTGAATCAGTGTGTATGTATGTTAATCAGATTCATGTTGATTTTGTTGAATTTGTTCTTAAGAAATTTGTGTATGTATGTATATATGTTAAGAAATTTGTTTGAATTTGTTCTTAAGAATTTTTGTTGAATCTGTGTATGTATCTACTTTCTTTTCTGGATTGGAATCCAACTAAATTGTCCATGGCCTGAGTTGAGAAGGTATGGGTCTCAAAAGTAGCTACTTTCTTTTCTCCAAGGTAACACTGTACTTCACTGAAATTTTTACATGTTGAAGTTGTTTATGCATTATTTGTTGAACATGGAGTGAAAGCATTTGTTGGGTAAATCTTACTGAGCAGTTAATTGATTTCACAACTGTTTTTACTGTGACAGAGAAATATGAACCTGTTCATGCAAAGTGGATAACAGAACGATGTGCTATATGTAGATGGGTTGAGGATTGGGACTATAACAATATTGTTATTTGCAACAGGTGTTACTATTCTTCATGAATCTTTATGCTTAATCATCACATTTTATGCATTTGAATTACAATTTATTTGCTGAGATAAGATAGCACCTGATTTAGGAACTCTAGTAGAATCATCTGAGTCAATTTTATTTTTCATATATATGATTTTCATTCAAAGATGATAAACATTAATTTTTTAGGTTTAAAGTAGGAGGGATTAATATGTATAAATTTATGTTGTATCCAAATTTATTTTTTCAAACTTATTATGTGTGTGTCCACCTAGGTGTCCAAAGTCTGCCTGGGTCAATTGGTGGGGGGTTACTTTCTAAATTCTCTTTCTACCTCACTTGAATTTGCTTAACTGTAATTTGTTGTGGAATGGACTTATGAATTGATATAATATTTCCTTTTTAGAGCCCTCATTTCCATGTGCTTCTTTTTTTGTATTAATAAATCTAAACTTTTGTTTGTTTTTCTCTTTGAAGTTACGATATCCTTTAAATCATTCAAGAGGATAAAGGTTCAGGTTGTTTTTTCTTTTTCCAAATGTTTAAGCTCCCTTATTGGGCCCATATCTAGTATTCTTTTCCTGATGTCAGAATATTTGTTTTTGTAGGATTATGGGGGGTCAATAAAGAGGTGGTCCCTAAGAAGAAAAATATTAACGATGCAGGAAGCCAACTTGCACCCCCATTAGGAGAATTGATGAAGATGCTCTTTAATGCATACAGGTTATAACATATTTACTATTTATTCAATTTACTCTGCATTTTAATTTTTAGAGAATGTCTTTGCAAGAACTTTTTAACTATTGCAGAGCTGCAATGATGGAATTTGAGATCAATATGTCGGAAATGCCACTTGAAAAACTGAGTAAAAGTAATATCCAAAAAGATACTTTTCTCTAGACTCTCCTTCTCTTTTAGTAAATCTAAACAATGCCTTTAGTGGAGATGCAGAAGTGATATCATTGTCGTGTTGTCATACTTGTTTGTTTATTTAGCTGATGAAGTTATAATTTCTAATGTGCTTCCTTAATATCTTCTCCAGGTCTTCCTTAATATCGTACTCCTCGCCACTAGGTTGATTTCCATAACTGATTGATTCCTTAATATCTAATGTGTTGTCATAACAATAGCACTTCATATAATAGAATGAACACTTCATATAATAGAATAAAGGAAAAGATATATTATAATCTAGGCGTTTGTCTCTTATAAATCCTTCTTTTTGGCTTTCTTGATAGAGATTAGGACATAAAGTAAGATCCATAATGGCCAGTTGGTAAGGGAACATTGATAAAACTAATCCACCAAAGGGGTTGTTAAGGAGCACACTTTTTCATGAACAGAGCAGCCTGTGATTATCATACCCAATTCAATTCTACACTGATTACCTTCAAGAATGGGACCTTGGCCATATTCATAGATTTCAAAATTCTTTTATTGCTACATTTGGAATAATATTTTGCTTCTTTTATTGGCACCTTTGTATTGTTATTGTTATTGTTGTTTTTATTTTTAATTTAGATTTATTGAGGTATAGTCTTATAACAAGAGCTTTAAATTTATATCTCAGTACAACAAATTAAGAACTTCAGACAAAAATTTAGGGACGAAATATTTTAGTTGTTAAAAATGTCATATTTTTAGGAGAATGGCTCTTCCCCATATCACTATTTTTTGTACTTGACTATACTTTATTTTGGGGCCTCATTCCGGATCCACAGCACTGTTCATCTTGTAAATCTCATGCTAAAAATCGTTTGTGCAAAAAATAAATTTCATTAGATATCAATAAATAGATGAAAAAATCATATTTGTTTTTAATAAAATAAGTGGTTTAAATTTAAACACATAGTTGTTGTCCATTTAAATATATATATATATATATATAGTTCACGTATCTAATGATATTCGATGAAGCTAATTTTTTGTACATACATTTTTACTATGAGATTTACAAGATGAATGGTTTGAATTATCATTGTGGACCCGAAATGAAGCCAGTAAAATAGAGTATGATGAAATATGGAGGATAGTAGTGACATGGAAAAGAGTCATCCCCTATTTTTAAGTGAGAAAATTGCACAATACTATTCTTTTGGGACTAAAATTTTCATTTACAAAAGTAAACGTATTTTACAATAAATTATTTTGTTCCTAAAAGTGTATTTATTAGCGGCATTTAAAAAAAAAATTCATTAAGTCTTTTTTTAACATTTTAAGACGGTCTTTTCGTGTTGACTCATATGATAATTAGTGGTCTCCTAATATTTTTTGCTACAAATTTTTTCCCCCATATAGAAACGAAAAAAAGTTAGCCTCTAAGACACTTATTTATTGTGATACCTTAAATTTGAAATCCTACGTAATTTTCAATTGCAAGCTAGACTACATTAATTGTTGAAAGGAAAAGACACACAATATGTCTGACCCAGATATATATAGTTGAAGAGGTTGTGATCCACTGAACACCCATTATCTAAAATGACTCATATTTCTAAGTTCTCACTGATCCAAATTAGATGTTTATTTAGGCCTCTGATTATTTGGGCTGAATTTGAAAATTAAAAAAAAAAAACATAATTGGTGTCTTGAGCCTTGCATTGGGTTTGGTCTAAAGTCCAGAACTACATAAATGTGGGCTTTCATTTTCATTCTGGGCCTTGGTCAAAGTTAGATTTGCATCCACAAAAATGAATTGACATTTCACCAAAGCTGTGAATATCAACCAGCCCTCATTGGTAACTGGCAATTTGGTTTCAATTGGGGCAGTTTCACTGCTTTTAACATTATTGGTACTATTACTTACTAGTTAGGATATTCAACTGGACGATGCTCTGATAATAGTTGCAAACAAAAATTTCAATATCAGAATGAATTTATTTTTGAAATTCATGTCCTTGAATCTTAGAGGTTGAATGTTTTACATTAGAGTCAATGGGGCTATAGCACTCTTAAATAGGGATGGACATAGGTTGGGTTTGGCGGGGATTTTTAATAACCTAACCCACTCCCTATCATATTGGGAGTGGGACAAATCAAGGGGTGATGGGATGGGACTAGAGCGAGAGAGGGATTAAAATATATATCACGTGTTAACCTCCTACTATATTTGATTTTTAGCCTCCTACTATTTTTGAAGGTGCGATTATTACAATGTTTTATAAGACGTGGGCAATGGGTGTATTGGAAAATGTTCTTGCATCTTTCCATTCCATTTCTCGATTTTCTGATTGCATTACTACATTTGCATTATTTTGCAGTTGGTGTCTTCAGAAAGAAAGGTACCAAACTATATGAAGCAAGCTTGAAGGATGAGAAGCGTTTAGATCAATGGCTTCATTGTTAAATTAAGCAAGTGTTTTAGTAAATAAATTTAATTTTCCCATCATGTTTACACCTTCAAAATATTCTGTAAATGACATTTGATGTAGGATTTTTTGTACAGAGGACATCTTTTTTGTATGATTTTGTATTTGTATGGAATTATTATTTTGGGTTGGATAATTCAGATTTGTATAGAATTTGATGTTAAAAGATCAAATTTTTGTGTTGTTGAAACGAAATAGAAATAGATATATGTATTATTTTGTTTAAATACAAGGTGCAGGTTGCACGAAATAAATACAGGTTATGAAGAAATTAATTATAATAAAAAAAACACAAAATAAAGTTTTTTCCATTAAATGTTTAGTAGCGAAAAAAAAAAGAAGTGAATTTGTTAGTGACTAACCAATTGGTAGCCAAAAAGGAAATCAATATTTTTAGTGACCAAATATTTGGTAGCCATAAAGAACCCAAAGATTTTTGGTGACTGAAAATTTAGTAGCTAAAAATATAATGAAGACTTTCGGCTACCAAAAGTTTAATAAAATGAAAAATAATATTTTTGGCGACTAAATTCTTTAGTCCCTAAATGTAGTAATGTTGTGACTAAAACTTATCTACGACAAGAAGTTTTAGTCGCTGAAAGTTTAATTAATTTTATTTGAACACTTTTGGCGACTAAATATTTAGTCGCCAAAATATCCCCTTTCCCGACTACTCAAAGTTTCGTAGCCAAATGCTTACTTTTGGCTACTAATATTTTAGTCGCCAAAACATAACCTTTGCCGACAAACGAAAATTTAGTAGCCAAAACGTTAACTTTCAGCGACCAAAAATAGTTTAGTCGCCAATACTATCGCCGACAGGGTATAGGCGACGAGTTTGGCGACAAAATATTTTAGTCGCTAAATGGTTTCGGCGACTAAATATTGGACTTTTGGCGACCAATATTTTGGTCGCCAAAAGTGACATTTCTTGTAGTGTAAGGTCATGATTGGGAATTTAGGAGAGTGGATTGGATTATTAATTTGTGAGGTTTATCACGTTCTTGTTTGGATGTAACAAGATGTTATAGAGTTAGTAGTAAAGGAAGCTTAGTAATCCTATTATATAGGGGATTAACTTGAGTGAATTTTAAGTTAAATTATTAAGAAAATAGTGAAGAGATTGAGTCTATTTTATATAAAAAAATTATTTTTATTAATTTTTTTTTTTATCAAGTGCACATATTTATTTTAATATTTGTTTTAGTTTTTTTTAATATAGAAATAATTTATTTATTTATTTATTTTATATAAAAATAATTTAACAATCTCATCACTAATCATTTGCCACGCTATCATCAAAATAAACACACTTTTACTTCTCTTCACTAACAATTCACACATTAACAATCTCTTAACTAACAATTATCTCACTAATAATTTCATCTAACCTACTCCGTCAAATAAACGTGTATTTAATGATTTTTTAAAAATTTATTGATAGATATGCTAGTGGATGGGGGAAAAAAAAACAAAAAGGATCAGAATAGGAAAAAGTCTTCCTTTTGTTTTTCAAAAGTAAAGCCAATTGGGTCTGGCTTTGGTCCAGTCCGCCATCGAACTGGATCGTGCTGTTGGGCCAGTAAGGCCCACCACGGGTCCCGTTTTGAAAATCTGAACCGTTCAATGTGTAGAACTCGTCGAGTACTATATGCCTGTGAAAAATCACGTTGATCGGATATCGATAGCTATGTGATCAAATCGGTTTTGTATAAAAAAATGGACGGTGAATAAATTAACGGTTGATAAAAAACTGTTTTGATCACATAGCTATCGATATCTGATCAACGTGATTTTTCACAAACATATAGTACTCGACGAGTTCTACACATTCAACGGTTTCGATTTTCAAAACGGGACCCGTGGTGGGCCCCCACAGGCCCAACAGCACGGTCCAGTCCGATGGTGGACTAGACCAAAGCCAGGCCCAAAACAATTATATCTAAAATGCCCCTTGTTTTCATTTTATACATTTCCATGGATGAACTTCGCGTATTCTCACATCTAAAATTCACATATACGACGTATGCCAACTGTCAAGGGAGAATTTCTTATTCTTTAGGTTATTTAGGTACAAATCAGAAATGGGGGAAAAAAAAAATTAAGGATTAAGTTACGGGCGACTCTATTTGCCCATCACATTTTATTTCAAGATATACCACTATTCAAGGCACACTTTTAGTAATTTGATAAATAAAACATTTGCTCAATATACACCACAATCTTCCATCTTTACCCTCACTCACACACCCCACCCACGCACTCACGATCTTCCATCTCCCCCTCCATTCTCTGTTTCATTGTTGTCCCATTCTAAACCAGCGGTGAAGATCCTTTCTCCTCCAATATTTGTTTCATCAAAGACATAGTCGGTGGTGCTCGTTGTTATCATCACCGTTGGAAACAACTCCACATTCGAGATACAATAGGTGAGAATTCTCATTTGGCTTAGATTTTAGGATTTTATGTACGCTTTTCCATTTCCATGAACATTGTATTTGAAATTTCATTTTTCAAACCATTCTACACTGTACTTTTAAACATTAACTATTTGTTCGGATTGTTTCTGTCAAACAATTTAAATTTGTTTGATATTTTAGTGTCGAACATAACTAAACTATTCGGAGGTAGACTGTCAAACATAATCATGTTGTTCGAAATTAGAGTGTCGAACAAAATGTAATTGTCCGATTCTATACTTCCGAACGAACTTATCCTTCACTGTTTTCTGTTTCATTTTCAAAAATGGATAACTCTTTGCGTATTCCACCCACTACCACTACCTCAGAGAGATGATTTATATTTTTGGTTGATTTTCATTCAGTCCAATCAAAATCTTCAATAATACGTATATTTTTGGTTGTTTGTTTAAGGATTTTTGGTTTTTGTCTCAGGATTTTTGGATTATTGAGAGAGAAGATATATAAGTAACATTTCAGATACTTGGTGTGTATTGTATTTAGTATAGTTGTTTATGGTAATTTTACAAAAGGTATGTATCATAGCCCTTTGTCCTTTGTGGTCATTTTACATAAGGTTAATATTTTAATAAAAATTAAACCAATTAATGGTGTGCCTTGAGATGAAAGGTGGTGTGTAAATAGAGGCTCCCTTAAGTTGCATCATATGAGTGCTGCTATTAGCACCTCATAAATTATTTTGGACCCCCAATTTTTAAAAAATTTTATTACAATAATAACATTAAATAAAATTACTGAAAATGACATCATTAATTTTGAGACACCCATCTCACAATTAAACCTACACACCTACTACATCAGAAATTAGGGTTTATGAGAGCACCCACTTCCATCACCACCCATCTATCTTTCCCAAATCTCACCTTCAAAACTTACCCACCCTCAAAACCTTGAAAGCCCTTTGGTGGCAATATTCCGGCAATAACAGTGGCAACCATTTGACTACCTACACTTCTCTGACAATGACAATGAGTGGAAGTTTTTCTAGTAACCACAACTCTATAAGACGAGAGGAGTATAACAATAAAAGCTTAGAGAATGTTCATAACTTTGATGTTGTTCTAGCTCAGGGGAGATCGGTCTTGTAAGGGTAAATTTTTTGAAAAAATGGCAAAAATAATTGTCATTTTTTCGGGACTGAACTCCCGAACATATGACTGAAATTTGGGAACACAGGCCCGAACATTGTTTATTTGTTCAGGAAGACATTCTCGAACAAATAAGTAATATTCGAGAATGCAGGTCTGTACATCGAAATTTTTTAACACATTGAACGGTCAAAATTGTTAATGCTTGCAGAAGTTTTCATTTTTTCAAGTTTGGGAATACAGACCCGAACAAATAAGTAATGTTCGGGAATGTATGTCCAATCATGGAAATTTTTTAACACATCGAACGATCAAAATTGTTAACACTTACAGAAGTTTTAATTTTTTTAAGTTTGGGAATATAGAAAATATCTTAACACGTTGAATGGTCAAAATTTTTAACACTTGCAGAAGTTATCGGAAGTAGCCCAAATCCATTATCAGGTTCAAAAGTCATTCCTTCATCGCGTAGCTTTGATAATATTGCTGCGTAGTTCTTTGCTGAACTCATAATTTTATAATATCTACCAAAAAAACCAACCAAACCAATTATTATAATTTTTTTCCAGTAAGAGAGAAGAAATTATTACGATAAAACTAAAAAATTATGTACGTGTATATATATATATAGAGAGAGAGAAAGAGAGCATACCAACTGTGACAATGGTGGATGAGACGGTAGAGCTAGTAATCGCATTGACTTTTCTTCTTCTTGGTGGGTTTTGTTAGGGTTTTTTAGAAAAGAGATTTTTTTTTGGGGCGTAAGGGTATAGGGGGTGTGCATTCAATGGGTGAAATATTTTCATAAGGATAATTTTGGTATTATTTGGGAGGAGGGAAGGGGATTGGGGAAGAAATTTTGAAGGTTTCAAAGTTTATAAGTAGGGGCCAAAGAAATGGGGGATCCAAAATAATTCATGAGGTGCTAATAGCACCACTCCATCTTACATGAAAGGAGTGGTCCTATTAACACCCCATAAATTATTTTGAACCCCTCATTTTTTTGGACCCCCACATATAAATTTTAAAACCCTTAAAATTTCTTTTTCCTCCCCAAATAATACCAAAATTATCCTCAAACATTTCACCCATTGAATGCACACCCTCTACACCCTTACACCCCCAAAAAAACTTTCCTGCTAAAAAATCCTAACAAAACCCACTAAGAAGAAGAAAAGTCTCAACCTTTTCAAAACTCATGAAGAAGAAGAAGAAGAAGAAGAAGAAGAATACTGTCCATGCCGGTTTAACCATTGTCACAGTTGGTATGCTCTCTCTCTCTCTCTCTCTGATTGCTTCTTCAAAATTAAAACTACCGAACTTGAAAAAATAAAATTTCTGCGAGTTTTAAGAATTTTAACTGTTGAAAGTGTTAACAAATTTCCATGTTCAGACCTGCATTCCTGAACGAATAATCTATGTTCGGGAATTTGTTCACGAACAAATAAGTAATTTTCGGGCCTGTATTCCCAAATTTGAAAAAAATGAAAACTTCTGCAAGCG